ACCAACAACTTATTCATTGCAAATACCTTTTTTTAACATAAACGGCAACTCTACACGTGGACCTGGCCAGATGGAATACACAGGAATCAAATTGACTACATCTGTGAAAAGAGACAACGGAAAACCTCAGTATCATCAGTCAGAACAAGGCCAAGGGCTACCTGTGAATCAGATCATCAATTGCTCATATGCAAGTTCAAGCTGAAGCTAAAGAAAATTGGAACAAGTTCACGAGAGCCAAAATACAACCTTGAGTATATCCCATCTGAATTTAGAGACCATCTCAAGAATAGATTTGATGCACTGAAAACTAACGACCGAAGACCAGACGAGTTGTGGAATGACATCAAGGACATCATACATGAAGAAAGCAAAAGGTCATTAAAAAAACAGGAAAGAAAAAGAAGACAAAAATGGATGTCAGAAGAGACTCTGAAACTTGCTCTTGAACATAGAGTAGCCAAAGTGAAAGGAAGAAATGATGAAGTAAAAGAGCTGAACAGAAGATTTCAAAGAGTGGCTCAAGAAGACAAATTAAAGTATTATAAAGACATGTGCAAAGACCTGGAGATAGAAAACCAAAAGGGAAGAACACGCTCAGCACTTCTCAAGCTGAAAGAACTGAAGAAAAAAATTCAAGTCTCGAGTTGCAATACTGAAGGATTCTATGGGGAAAATATTAAACAACACAGGAAGCATCAAAATAAGATGGCAAGAATACACAGTCACTATACCAAAAAGAACTGGTTCACATTTAATCATTTCAGGAGGTAGCATATGAACAGGAACCAACGGTAGTGAAGGAAGAAGTCCAAGCTACACTGAAGGCACTGGCGAAAAACAAGGCTCCAGGAACTGGCCAAACACCAATTGAGATGTTTCAACCAAAGGATACAGCACTGGAGGTGCTCACTCGTCTATGCCAAGAAATTTGGAAGACAGCTACCTGGTCAACCAAATGGAAGCGATCCATATTTATGCCTATTCCCAAGAAAGGTGATCCAACAGAATGTGGAAATTATCAAACAATATCATTAATATCACATGCAAGTAAAATTTTGCTGAAGATCATTCAAAAGCAGCCGCACCAGTATATTGACAGGAAACTGCCAGAAATTCAAGCTGGATTCATAAGAGGATGTGGAACCAGGGATATCATTGCTGATGTCAGACGGATCCTGGCTGAAAGCAAAGAATACCAGAAAGATGTTTACTTGTGTTTTCTTGACTATGCAAAGGCATTCAACTGATGGGATCATAACAAATTATGGACAACACTGTGAAGAATGGGAATTCCAGAACACTTAATTATGCTCATGAGGAACCTGAACATAGATCAAGAGGCAGTCATTGGAACAGAACAAGGAGATACTGCGTGGTTTAAAGTCAGGAAAGGTGTGCACCTGGGTTGTATCCTGTCACCATATTTATTCAATCTGTGTGCTGAGGAAATAATCTGAGAAGCTGGACTACATGAAGAACGGGGCATGAGGATAGGAGGAAGACTCACTAACAACCAGCATTATGCAGATGACACAATCTTGCTTGCTGAAAGTGAAGAGGACTTGAAGCACTTAGTGATGAAGATCAAAGACCACAGCCTTCAAATATGGATTATACCTCAACATAAAGAAAACAAAAATTCTCACAACTGGACCAATAAGCAACATCATGATAAACGAAGAAAAGATTGAAGTCGTCAAGAATTTCAAATTACGTGGATCCACAATCAACACCCATGGAAGCAGCCGTCAAGAAATCAAACAACACACTGCATTGAGCAAATCTGCTGCAAAAGACCTCTTTAAAGTGTTAAAAAGCAAAGATGTCACTTTAAGGACTAAGGTGTGCCTGACTCAAGCCATGGTGTTTTCAACTGCCTTATATGCATACAAAAGCTGGACAGTGAATAAGGAAGACCGAAGAAGAGTTGACACCTTTCAATTGTGGTGTTGGCAAAGAATACTGAATATACCATGGACTGCCAAAAGAACAAATCTGTCTTTGCAGAAGTACAACCAGAATGCTCCTTAGAAACAAGGATGGCAAGACTACATCTCACATACTTTGAACATGTTATCAGGAGGTACCAGTCCCTAGAGAAGGACATCATGCTTGATAAAGTAGAGGGTCAGTGACAGAGAGGAAGACCCTCAACGAGATGGAATGACACAGTGGCTGCAACAATGGGCTCAAGCATAACAATGACTGTGAGGATGGCGGAGAACCAGGCAGTTTCGTTCTGTTGTACATAGGGTCGCTATGAGTCCGGAACCGACTCAACGGCACCTAACAACAACAACATGAAATCCATTACGTTACTCTGTTATGGTCTTCTCCTTCCTCCCTAATGCTCTCCAGCCTCCATTTTCCCCTTAAATGATTGTTTTCACAGAGTCCTTTTCTAGCATTTGTTCACTTATCACTGTTCACACTCCCTCTAGGTAATGTCATCCACGTCCATGGCTTCAACCATAGCAATATATAAATATCCTGATGACTCCCAAATTTATATCTCCAACCAGATGTATCTCTTGAGCTTCACACCTGTATAGCCAAGCACCTGTTAAACATTTCCTCTCTGCTAATTCATAGGCAACTCAGACTCAATATGTCTAAAGCTGCTCTCGTTCCAGTATACCTAGTCTTGGTAGATAGTCCATTCAACTCATTTGTCCAAGTTGGAAATTAAGGACTAAATATTTATTCCTCCCACTCTCTCATAAACAACAACTAACCACACAAGTCCTGTCAACTCTATTTTATATATACATAACTTGAAAAGGTTTCTCTCTCTCCATTTCCCATTAACACCTAACTTTAGGCCTTTATTTTCTAAATAAATTAACTGCCTCAAATTTTTATCTTCCCCCACTATTCCCCAAACCCTTCAATGCATTCTTTGCATACTACATAATGACATTTCTAAACCACAAATCTGGCCACATTACTCCATACTACTCCATCCTTCAAGGCTCCTCATGGTTCATAGGTAAAGTCCAAACTCCTAAACATAGAATACAGGTTCTCCTGATCTGAAGGCTGGCTCATCTTTTGCCACGTAGCTTTCATACACCTTTTATAGCCATGTTGAACCTTTTAACATCATATTTATATTTGAGCATGCTGCTCCAGCTGCCAAGAATGCCCTCCCCATATACACCACCTCCCAATATTTTTTTTTTTTTTTTTTTTGTCTATCTCCTCTAGTCCCTTTAAGACTCAGGTTGGTTCCAAAATGTATCAGCCTATCATTAGCAAAGTAATAAAAGAAAGAAAAGGTAGGAAGGAAGAAAAGGGGGGGGGGGGGAGAGGGAAGAAAGGGAGGGAGGGAGGAAGGAAGGAATAAACTAATAATAAAATGGTCCCTGGATGGCCCAAACAATTAAGCCCTCGACTACAAGTCAAAAGGTTGGCGGTTCAAATCCACACAGAGGTGCCTTGGAAGACAGGCTTGGTAATCTGCTTCTGAAAGATCACGGCCTTGAAAACCCTACGGAGTGCAGTTCTACTCTGCATATATGGGGTTGCCATAAATTGGAATTCACTTGATGGCAACTAACAATAATAATGAAACATTCATGCTCCAGTTCTTTCCTTTCCATAAATGTAGAAACGGTATTAAGTAAGTTTCAAAGGGTAAAATATACTTCAATATTATGAGATTTTACCATGAACGTTTTTTCAGCCTTTGTTCTTTTAGTTTCTGGTCCACATGGGATAGTTTTTCAGGTTTGTAAATTTATCCACTGATTATCTTTTTTGTCGTTTCAAGCACATGGTCCTGATCAGATTAACTGACAGGATGTATATTCAGAGCCTTCAGAAAAAAAACTGTTACAGTCAGAACTGTTTGGTTCTGAGGAACCTAATATAGCTAATATGGCAGGTACAAATTCCATGGTCACAAACCTCAGTTGTGGAAAAAAACCTTTCTTTAATCTATATGAACATAATTTTGTTCTATCCTCTAACATCTCAATAGCTTTTATAAACCGAGTGCTCAACAAATAGTATTTTTTTCACTCTATTGTGAACCTCTGGGTTAAACACAACTTTTTAAAAATGTTATAAACCTTTTATGTTTGTAATATAGTTTAAGTTATTTGGAAGTTCTAATGAGAATTTTAATTTTTCTTTAATTTATCTGATTTTACTAATTGATTCTCATTTATATATTTATGCTGTATTTGTGCTTGGAATAGATGTGTTACATTTTAATAGTTCAAAAAGGTATACTTCTCTTAATTTCTGACTCATCTATTCCTCCCACTAATTATTCCAAAACAGCAAATTTCAGAATCAAACTACTTCGTTAGAAAATATTTCCAGACCTTTAGAAAGCCACTTGGGAAGCCAAGTCCCATGTCCTACAGTATAATATTTCAACCAAGTCTGAAAGTAGTGAGAAGAAACAGTAATTCTGAGCATGTGCTGACAGCTAAGAGGGAGGCCAGGTAAGCAACTGGTATAAGCTGCTCAGGATCTGGGAGGCAGCCAGCACAGAAGGAATACGACGAGGCACATAAGATATGCTCAATATACTTACTAATCTTGTATAGGAAAGAGCCCTGGTGGTGCAATGGTTAAGCACTCAGCTTCTAACCCAAAGGTCAATGTTTCAAACCCACCAGCAGCTTCATGGGACAAAAGACCTGGCAATCTGCTCCCGTAAAAATTACAGCATAGGAACCCCTATAGGGCAGCTCTACTCCGTCATATACGGTTGCTTGCAGTCAGAATCAACTGGACAGCATACAATAACAATTTTCTATAGTAACAAATAAACTCCTTAAAGGCCTAGATGATGCCTTATTCACCTTTGTATCACCTGTAATAGCTAACATATATACACATATATAATATCTAACATATGTATGGTATTCAGTAGTTATTTGATAAATGAATATAAGTTGATATTCAGTAACTATTAAATAAATAAATATATTAAATAAATTAAATTAATGAATATTAGTTTCCTAGGGCTGCAAACTACCACAAATTTGGGGGTTTAAACAACAGAACTTTATTCTCTCACAGTTCTGGAGGCCAGAAGCCTAAAATAAAGATGTCAGTAGGGCTATACTCCTTCAAAAGTCTTAGGGGAGAATCCTTTCTTGAGCCTTTCAGCTTCTGCTGGATCCAGGCATTCCTTATTTCTGCATAACTCCAACCTCTGCCTCCATCTTCACATGGCCTTCTCTCTGTCTTCTCTGTTGTCTCTTATACGGACACTTAGCATTGGACTTTGGTCCCACCCCAATAATCCAGGATGATCTCATGTAGAGATCCTTAATTTAATTATCCACAAAGACCTTTTTTGCAAATAAGGTCACATTCACACGTTCCAGAAGTTAGGACGCTGACATGTCTTCTTAGGAACGACCATTCAACCTACTACGAAGACTGAATGAACAAACAAACGTATCCACAAGTATGGATCATCTGAGTCAAAATATCCACCTTTATCCTTAACATTTTCTTGTTTTGGCTGTCAGAAGGAAACTAGAAGACATAAATCAAGCTGGTAATTTAATAATTCCAATGTAAGTCAACCCAGTACTGGTAAATAATATACTCAAACACTCACATGAAAGTTAAAGCAGTGACATGGCAGTGGCCCCAACATGAAATGATAACACATAAAGAAATATCAATATTTATATTATATTTATATAAATGTATATAAAGTGCAAATGTGAGGATGGTGCAGGATCAGACAGTGTTTCGTTCTATTGTACATAGGGTTGGTATTGGTCAATAACAACAAAATAACTGCTGTTACAGCATTTATCCAGTATTCTCTCAAATACCTAGTTATCATATTCAATAATGTGCAATAATGGCAAGTTCAATATTTAGATAATTATAAAACCAAGGCAATAATCAAAAGATGGCTAGTAATTTTTACTCTAAGTTAAACATGGATAATCTGACCATTTTGATTCATTGGTTAATTTGAATATAGTCCAATTTGCATTAGATCAAACTGATTTTAATCAGTAAGGTGTTAATTTTGATGTTTTGTAGACAATGGTTTTAAGTGAAAATATTTGTTTAGTGTTTAAATGTTTAATGTGCATCTGAAAAAGAAAACAAAGAAATGTTTTTGAGAAACATATTAATTTCTTAAGACAACAGATTTTAACTGAATCGAGTATTTTATCTTTTTTTCATTTTTATTTTACATGTCTGTTTAACAGAACGCTAACACTTAAAAGAGGTTTTAAAAAAATCTCTTCATTAAACTTGTTTTAATAATGCCATTAGTCAATCAGGTTTTACTTAGGAAAAATGTTGTGAAAACCAGGCCATCTGCTGAGGTGCTACAGTTACACTTGGCCCTCAAAATGTTTTTGGCATGATCTGTTTCAGCACTCTGTTGGATTATAAACCCTCAAAACAAGTTCACCTTGATCTTTTACATTAAACCCAAAGTATCTCAGAGACAAAATCTGACATAAGTCTAAACCTGTGACGTTTCCATCCAAAGAAGGCAGAAATAAAACAGGACTTTGGATTTGGTTACAATAAAACATCAGAAGTACCAGAAATACAAGCCCTGAAGCTGTATCAATAGGGAATTATGGCAAACAGTGCCTCTCCTGAACAGAATCAAAATCACTGCTCAGCCATCAACAACAGCATCCTGCTGATGCAGAGCAACCTCCCCACCCTGACGTTATCCGGAAAGATCCGAGTGATAGTTACTTTCTTCCTTTTTCTACTTTCCACAACCTTTAATGCTTCTTTCTTGTGGAAACTTCAGAAGTGGACTCAAAAGAAAGCGAAAGGGAAAAAGCTCTCACGAATGAAGGTGCTTTTAAAACATCTGACCTTAGCCAACCTGCTGGAGACTCTGATTGTCATGCCACTGGATGGAATGTGGAACATTACAGTCCAATGGTATGCTGGAGAGTTCCTCTGCAAAGTCCTCAGCTATCTGAAGCTTTTCTCCATGTATGCCCCAGCCTTTATGATGGTAGTGATCAGCCTGGATCGGTCCCTGGCCATCACGAGGCCCATAGCTGTGAAAAGCTACAGTAAGCTCAGACGGTCCATGATCAGCCTGGCCTGGATCCTCAGTAGTGTCTTTGCTGGACCACAGGTAAACATTATTTATGAACTTGTTTGGATATGGAGAACACAGATTTCCTACCCAAACTTGAGTAAAGGTCTTATCAAAGGCAGTATTGCATTATCTTTACAATCTTGGGATCTGGAAGTCAGAGCGAGTGGAGTTTAATCCTGGCTTTGCTGTGTTATCTTGGGAAAATTACCTAACCTCTGTGGATTTCAGTTCTTTTACTTATAAAATGGGGAAATGTCTACCTCATATGGCTTTTGTGATGATTAAACGAATAATGTATTAACATGTCTAGCATAATTTCTGGTATATAGTAAATGCTTCCCAAAAAAGGTAGCTATTCTCAAAATTGACCCCATTCCCATTCTTTCCTTCCATCTATTTTTTCTTTTGCTCCGGTTGACATGAATATAATGGTTAATTGACAGAATTTTTAAGAACTGTGGAATCTTCATAGGTAGGAAGTATTTACAACTTGTCCTATTTGCAATTTCTTGAATGGAAACTTTAAGAATTCTGTCACTGCAGTTTAAAACAGTAACCAGTTGTCACTGAGTCAATTTCAACTCATGGCAGCCCTATATGTGTCAGAGTAGAACTGTGCTCCATAGGTTTTCAATGGCTGAGTTTTCAGAAGTAGGTCGCCAAGCCTTTCTTCTGAGGCACCTCTGGGTGGACTCAAACCTCCAACTTTTCGGTTAGCAGCTGAGTGCATTAACCATCTGGCAATGATGTGATTAGGTGAGTGGCTAAGGTGATGTTAGAGGGAATTGACAGTAAGAGGGATATTTCAAATGAAAAACAGTTTGGCAACAAGTTGGATTTAGGGAGTTAATAATAGAGCAGAGTAAAATAAAGCTCCAATATTTTTAGGCACAGAGTCTGAATAGTAAAACCACTGAAGTAAACAGGTAGGCTGGTAAGAGGACTATTCATTTGTTTGTCTGCTTGTCAGTCTGTCTGTTTGTTTGAAGGTGGAGGAAGGCAGGCTATGAAAGAAAGAGGTAAAAACATTTCCTTCACGACATAACATCAGCAATATGAAGTCTTCATATAAGTACAGCTAGCTGAAAAGTAGTTGGTAATTTGAGATTCTGATGCAGGTGAAACAAACAGCAATATAAACAGGTCAATATTTGATAATAACTGAAAGGCAAACCCACAATGTCACTCCTTCAAAGGACTATTCCAGAACCTATAAATAAAATTCTGATTTATTAATTCAGTTATTTTAAATACATCACAGCAATAACAGAAAGTTTATGCCAAATATTTTTCTATCTTGATGTAGTAAAATGAAAATAAAAATTTTGAATTGTTTGGGAATTTCTTGTAATAACCTGACCTCAAACATATTACTCTACCTGACAGATTTACGTGAATATGAGCCACAGAAAATGATTTGAATTATTTTACTTCATAAAACAAATGACTCTTCTTTACTTACAGAAACACTTTAAATTTATAAGGCATTTTGTTAAAGTTTCCTGAAAAGCCTCACATACATAATACAATCTTACTTGATATTTATATTAACTCTGTGAAATACATAAGAGCAGTGTTATTATCTCCACTTCACATATAAGAAAACTAAGGTCTAAACCTTTCAAAGCAATGGCATTCAAACCCTTTTTCGCAGAAAGTCAGAGAAATACATACTACATCATGACCTAGTCTATCTCTTCTTCTTTCATACACAACTGAAAAAAGGTTTCATGAAATAAATATTCTACTCTGTTCCATTCATTTTTCAAGGTTAGTTACAACTCACTGATGGGCACACCCTGCAGCTCAAAAAACACTGGCTTAAAGGGATTCATTGATTTTTTCCAATGTCACTTGGCCTGTTAAACTCATGTCTTTTTATTAAGTCCAGTTTTTCCTTTTAGTATAGATCTCTGCTAGCTCCATGAAAAAAAAATGTTTTAACCCTTGACTTATATGACATGAGGAGCCCTGGTGGTGCAGTGGTTAAGCATTCAGCTGCTAACCAAAAGGTCAGTAGTTCAAATCCACCAGCCACTCTGCGGGAGAAAGATGTGGCTGTCGGCTTCCATAAAGATTACAGACTTGAAAACCTATGGGGCAGTTCTACTCTATCCTATAGGGTCGCTATGAGTTGGAATCGACTCAATGGCAATGGGTTTTTGAGAGTTTAATACTACAACTATTTGATGGGGAAGATGAGAGATAGAGAGGGCTTTTTTATTTCTAGATTGTGACACACGCCTCATGCTTCACCACACTCTTTGAGTAAGCCCATTGACAAAGGATCATCCTAGGGTGACTAATTTACATTGAAAGGGTAACTTTAATCTTCACCTTTCGTTCTATACATCGATTTTCTATTACCATAACTTAGTTTAAAAAAAAAAAAAGTAACAAGCTAATTGTCACAACCCAGGGCTGGGAATTCATGACACTTCATCAGAGTTCAAAGTGTCCAAATACCAATTTGGCCACCTTGGTTTTTCATTTTAATGGTTACTAACCTCAGAAGGGAAGATCTATGGTATTTTGGGGATGTGTTTTGAGAAGTTTTGGCAGTACAGCACACTAACTTTCAAGCTCTGTACTAGCAATAGAAATTAAAAAAAAAAAAAATCCTATGTGGAGGGATCAGTCCCTGGAGAAGGACATCATGTGTGATAAAATAGAGAGTTAGCAAAAAAGAAGACCCTCAACGAGACGGATTCACATCATGGCTACAATGATGGGCTCAAGCACAACAACGATTGTGAGGATGGGGCAGGATGGGCAGTGTTTCGTTCTGTTGTACATAGGGTTGTTATGAATCGGAACTGACTCAATGGCACCTAAAAACAACAATATGTGGAATCCCAAGAAACAAATATAAATGGAACTGATGTGGTTGAAACAGGGATAAAGGAGGGCAACTCCTCTGCCTGGGTTTTCACTAGCTCCCAGTCACAGTCTGCAACTAAGTTCCCTGCAACAAAGTTTGAAAGCCGATGGAACAGTAGAAATGACATTGGTATTGGATTTAAACAAAATTAAGTTAAAATTTCAATACTGTCTCTTACAAACTATGTGATTCTGAGAAAATTACTTAACCTTTCTCAGTTTAAAAGGGTAATTGTAAAGAATAAAATACATAAAATCAACTAGTACAAGACTTTATACTTAATTAATGTTCATTTCTTTCCTTTCCTTCTTTCTTCCTGCTTTTCTTCCTTCCTTCATAATAGGTTTTTGAAATCAGGAGAGTAGAAAATAGAGAAAAATGAGTATGAAAATGGATGGTCCTTTAAGAAACAGCAAAGAAAAATGCTTATATAAAAGTTGGTTATTTCACATTTCTCCAAATTGTAACATTCATTCTGATTGGTTAGTAAATTTGGTCAACCTACTCCCTAGTCACAAAACTATCCTAACTCACCCTGAAAGCTATATTTGCCAGAGCATAAAAATTCAAGTCTTGGAGGCATAAATAGCAAAATTAAGATTAAAATGAAAGAAAAAGAAAAGGCAACAAACATGCCTGGGGAGTATACCTGATTTAAGACCATCTGTGCTTAGGCTGGTAACTACATCTTGAAGAGTGAAGAGAAAACATTTCCTGAATTAGGAGTGTCCATAGCTAATTAAAAATCACATAGTTTCCAATGAGTGTTATCTAAGATCACACAATTTCTAAAGAAGCAGATTATTTGCAGAAAGAGTTCATACCATTAGCTTATCTCTGTTAATATGGAGCATTACACATGGGCACTTTTTAAACTCTACAGTTAACCCAGGACTGTCAGCAAGATATATGAGTCACTCCCTTAGTCTTTGGTATACAGATGCATGGTCTAAAGATCTGTGGAGGGTTGTCTTGACACATAAAGAATTTACAAGGCTAGAATGCACTTCAGAACTTGGCAAGCAGTTTAAATAAATATTTATCATATGGGTACAATATGCCAGGCATTGTGCTGGAACATAGTAGCAGTATATAGTAACAGATATAACAACAACAATAATGATAATGATGATAAATAGTAGTTATTTAGGATATACATATATTCCAGGAATTGTGCTATATGCTTTTGCATGTATATTGAATATAATCCTCCCAACAATCCCATAAATTAGGTACAATTATTATCCTTATTTTACACATTAAAAAAAAAAAAACTAAGGCTAAGAATATTACATAAGATGTCCAAGATATCACCTAATAAGTGGAGGTGTCAATACATCTAGTTAACTCAATAACAGAGCTTTTAACCACTACATTATACCACATTATTTCCTTTTTTCCTGTAGGAGGCTAAAAGGAAAGAACATGAGAGAAAAGTTTAAGGTGAAATAGATAGGTAAGAGGCATCAGGAAAAATACGTTATATATTTATAAATACATAAGTAAATTGATATACATCCATATTTATAAGTTGTGTGTCTCAATTATAATAATTAAGATTTATATACTGCTAATTGTGTGCCCCACCAGCCGTACTGTGGTGGCTTGCACGTTGCTATGATGTTCGAAGCTATGCCACCAGTATTTCAAATATCCAGCAGGGTCACCCATGGTGGACAGGTTTCAGCAGTTTCCAGACTAAGACAGACTAGGAAGAAAGGAGTGGTGATCTATTTTTGAAAATTAGCCAAGGAAAACCACACAGATAACAACAGAACATTGTCCAACTCACTTGCTTTGAACACATCATCAGGAGCGATCAGTCACTGGAGGAGGATACCATGTTTGGTAAAGTAGAGGGCCAATCAGGGCATGGGAGATTGTTGGTGAGATGGATTGGAATAACAGCCACAATGATGGACTCAAACATGCTGTTAATTGTGAGAATGATGCAGGACCAGGCAACATTTTGGTCTATCGTACATAAGGTCTCCATGAGTCAAAGTAAACTCAATGGAAGCTAACAACAACAACTGCATACCAGGCATTATTCTAAGTGCTTTACATATATTAACTCATTTAACTCTCATGACAGCCCCTAGAAACAGATACTAACTACTATTATCTCCATTTTATAGACCAAGAAACTAAAGCA